TAGCTTTTGTGAAAGAAAAACGACGAAAAGTGAGAAAATACAATTGATTTGACAAATTTTCGAACATTTGACCAGAAAAAAGGGATTTTTTAAGCAAAAATGGTTGCATTAGGAAAAATAAATTTTCATGATCGAAGAACCTGGCATAGTTGGCCTGCGATAAGTAGGAGTATCCAGGTGAATTCACTTATGTGGGGTAACCAAACCAAAGATCCGATACTCTCCGTATGTTTGACCAAATAAAATTTAAGAAAAAACAAAAAATAAACTTTTTCAACTAGGAAACGAAATCACTGAATTATAGAGAAACTTTATCATTTATGACCTCTCATCTTCTCAACAAAAACACTAACAAGTCGAAAAAAACTACTGAAACAAATTTTTCCGAACGACCCTCGTAGGCTCGAACATATCAGCGCCACGTAACGGCATTTTAGGCGGAGGCACTGGTTTATTTTAGAGTCACACGGAATCGTAGTCCTTTTCTCCTCCCCTCTCCATCGTTGGTAGAAGACTAAAAATGAAAAAGATACATCATTGCGCAATCAGGCCTCTTTTAATATCGTCTATACGCCGCCGATAGGCAAATAAAGCTTAACATTTTGCCGTTTTACCACACAAACATATGCATTGTATATGTGCTCTCATTGGTAGGGAGGGGTACTGGAAATGAAAGGAGGGAAGGGCGGGGAGGAAGGGGGGAGGGGGAGGGGGCGAGACAGAGCACTGAAAAACCTGTTCTTCTGCCTTTGGTCATTGATTATGCCAGACAGTGATTTATGATGGAAAATAAACACTGGTCCTGAAATAAACGTAAAATTGATGAGAAACATTTTGCATGACTGTTGTATCCATGCTTACTGCTGTTAGGGTGGAAGAATTTGCAGGACTGATTAAAACAGACTGAAAAAAATTAAGCGGCGTTGATAACCACTCATATTAAAATGACATCTGTTTATTGATATAAGATGCTAAATTATTTATTCGAATGATAAATGCAGTTCAGGGATTAGATGCTACCCAATTAGTTCAATGTGTTGGAAATAACAAAGACAAAGACCTGCTGCATATTCGAAGAAATAGTAATTAAGCAAGAATTAAAACACTTGGGTTCGTTAAGTCATATACTTCTTAACTCAACTCCACAACTGAACCTAGTCAGTCCGTACCAGAAATTATAATTGTACGATGGTGTCAGAAACTACAGTTATATGTTGAATTTTAAGAAATTTGAAATTAATATGATGAGAGCGTAAGAATGAAATTGCCAGGGAAGATGAAGGGGAGGGGAAGCTTCGAGAATCTTCAACAGCTTTTTACAGTTACCGACACATACAAAGCTATCAATCGTAACAGTTTTATTAAGGCTTTAGAAAAAAAAAAAAAAAACTTTAGAAATATCCCGGATGAGAGCAGCTCAGCTGTCATCAAATCAAGAATAGAGGTGGCTGGAAATGATACGGTACTCACGTCATGCGAAATAACCTCATTACGTATCTGAGCAATTTTGGACGGCAGAAGAACTTCTCTGAACTGAAATTGCGATCCCTTCGACAAGTTGCAAAGGTGCAGGGGCTGCCGGAAGTATCACTCGGGCTACTTTTGGAGTGTCTTCGTTACTCATACACCGTAAAGGCGGAAGGGCTTTGACTTGGACTTCTACGTGGTATTTGCTAAAAAAAATATACGAACTGCTCCTAAGAAAAGTAGGCTTGCGGGATGGTAAGGAAAAGCCTGTGGACAAGTTAGGTAAATGTGGTAGGCTTGCAAACATTACAATCGCTTAGTACCGTCAAAAATTTCAAAAAAGAATATTTCTGAAAGGAATTTAGCAAAAATTGGCTTCCAACAATAAAAATTTATTTCTTTTTTTCCAAAAAAAGGCTTCATTTCCATTGGTTGTTTGCTCAGCACAGGTGCTAAGCACATTTTTAAGAAAATGCATGGGTATTTACCGCAAAAGTGTATAAGAGCATTAAAAATATTTGTGAAGCTTTTTCTACAATACAATTCGAGGTACCACGCAGCGATCGATGGGCAAGCAACAGGTTTTGGGATGAAAGGAACTTCAGAAAACGCAGAGCAAGAATGAAGTTGCATTGATTGATGAGTTGCACCTCAGTAGAATCTGTTTTTGTTTTCAGCAGAAATGGAGCACCGTAGATGACTCATGATTGCTTTTGCAGCTTTTTGAAACTGACAAAATGATGCCCCTGCTTTTCGGATATTTTCACGTGTGACGCTTGTACTTCCTTTACAGGCGCTTGCTCCATTCACTGAAAAACTGATTTACTGTGGTGCCCCGGTTAAACAAAAGCATGTTTCTCGTAGTATGCAAAAAAAATTTTAATTTGTTTCGCGTTTCCTTCTATACGATAAGAATTGTGTACTGTGAATCTCGATCAAATTTTAGGACATTTTTTAAGCTTATGAATCAGCACAATGAATTATAGCTCATTATGTTGTCAATATGCTTGTTTTTGGGTGACTTCATCCCTCAGTTCCTGATCAGCTGCTACTTCATCGCTATTTTACTATTTCTCGCCAATGGATCAACTATCGAACTGCTTCTGCTTGATTCCTAGCAAACAATTATGAATTTTTCAATAATTTGTAAAAAATTCAAAAAACTTTTACAGCGACTCAAAAAAATACTGAACATTTATTTTAGAATTTTACCTTTAGAACTAGCTAGTGACTGAAAAATTTTTCGGAGCTTCTCTTGAAAACGAACCATGTTTGTAGAAATTATGCAGGCACTCAAAGTTTATATACAACGCGAGTTCGCAAATTACAGAAAATTTTTGGTAATCAACAATCATGGATCCGGATAGATTCTTTGGTAAGGGAGCTGCTGAGGTGAGATTCCGCTGTACTGAGTATACATGGGTTGCAGCAGCTGGACGGGTGCAGTGAACACCACATAATTGGTTTCTAGATATTTTTGAATTTCTGTACCGAGCCTCTGCCGATCACTTTCATTTATCACATTCAGGATATCGACCGTTAGCGTTGCCTTATCTTGAAAAGTGTGGTAGTTAGCCTGAAATTTAAGGAATTTCAGTCAAACCTTAGTTGCCCAGCAAATCCTCTTCTGTAGCGGTTGCAGTGCCTTGCACTCATTACGACAGTCCCGATGAAACAAACTGTTACCTCAATTTTTATCTTTTTTCTGTTTTTTTTTTTTTTTGTAACCGTGCTTTCTAATAAAAACTAAAAAATCTGTATTATGACGCAGCCATGTCTGCTTCTGCGATCGTCCGTCTGTCTGTGCGTCTGTCTGTCTGAATCGAAAACTACAAAACTACAAAAAATTCCGTTGCTGAAATTTCAAAAAATTAAACTCATGGCGCGAGTCCAGAAACATAATAAAATCAAATTTTATGCCCTCCTGTATCCTAACCCACAGGTGCATTGGATTTGGCCACTCGATTTTAGGCACTCGTTTATACTCGCGGTGCATAACCTCAGGTTTTTACTGCAAATTCGTGGTAATGTGCGTTTGTTTTTTACGTCTGCTTCTTTGGAATAGTAAGTGTAATTACCTTATTAACACAAGTTGTAGCGTCCTTTGCTATGCATTTGAGTTTGAGCGTATTCTCACCAAGCCTATAAAAATACTTTCCTTTGATGTAGTTTGCTTTCGCAATGTTTATATCGCTAACAATAAATGCCGGATAAGGCCAGAAGCTTGTGGTGACAATAAGTCCCTGCGGATTGACACCTATTCTGTCGAATGCATTTGTTACCTGCAAATAAAAATATGATTATCAAAACCCCACACGAACTCCGCCAAGTTAATTTTTCTTTATGCAGAAATGACGGCAGGCTGAATGACAAAGTACACACAGATTTTTGCAGGAGCACTGGATTTTTGATATTTTTAAAAATCTAACTTAAAGCCGTCTGAAAACAAGTTTGTCAGCCAGTTTATTTTTTTTTAACCGCGAAAGTAACGTAGTTAGCGGAACGACTATTATGTCACACAAAAATACTCAAATACTCGGA